CCTCAATCTATCCCACTCTGACCAGCTTGATGCCAGCGCCACAAATAGATGCCCAGAGCCTGGAGAGGGATCACAGGTCAATAGCAGAGTACCTGAAGAGCAGCACAAAGGAATTCCAGCCAGTAAGTCAGCTTCACTGGGGACCCAACTTAAATGCCTTTATGCAAATGCACGTAGCATAGGAATAAATAAGAGGAGCTGGAGATGCGCACGTGCCTGCAGGGCTACGATCTTATTGGCATCAAGGAGAGGTGGTGGGATGGCTCCTGTGACTGGAGTGTTGGAATGGAAGCATACAGGCTCTAGGAGGGACAGACAGGGGAGATGAGGAGCAGGGGTCACCACCCTCTGTGTCAGTGACCAGCTGGAGTGCGTGGCCCCCTGCCTGGGGATGGATGAGGAGCTGACTGAGAGCTTATGGGTTAGGATTAAAGTGAGGGCAGGGATGGAAAATGTTATAGTGGGGGTCTGCTACAGGCCACCTGAGCAGGAAAACCAATCAGATGAAGCCCTCTATAGAGAGATAGGAGCAGCATCACATTCACAAGCCCTGCTCCTCATGGGGGGCTTCAAACACCACAATATTCATTGGAGGGGCAACAGTGCAGTGCATAAGCAATCCAGGAGGTTCCTGGAATACATTGATGACAACTTCCTTCTCCAAGTGACAGAGGAGCCAACGAGGACAGGTGCTATCCTGGATCTTATCCTCACCAACGAGGGGCTTGTGGGGAGTGTGAAGCTCAAGGGCAGCCTTGGCTGCAGTGAGCATGAAATGGTAGAGTTCAAGATCCTTAGAGCAGCGAGTATGATGCGCAGCAAACTCACTGTTGTGGACTTCAGGTGAGCTGACTTTGGGCTCCTCAGGGATCTGCTTGGCAGGGTAGCATGGGATAAAGTACTGGAGGGAAGCTGGTTAATATTCAAGGATGACCTCCTGCAGGCTCAGGAGTGATGCACCCCACCAAAGAGTAAGTCAGGTAAAAACACCAGGAGGCTGCATGGGTGGACAAGTTGCTCCTGGACAAGATCAAACACAAAAAGGAAGCCTGCAGAGGGTGGAAGCAAGGACAGACAGCCTGGGAGGAATATAGAGAAATTGTCTGGGCAACTAGGGATCAGGTTAGGAAGGTCAAAGCCCTAATAGAACTTAATCTGTCCAGGGACACCAAGGGCAACAAAAAAAGCTTCTATAGGTGTGTCAGTGATAAAAGGAAGATGAGAAAATGTGGGCCATCTCCAGAAGGAAACAGGAGACCTGAGTATGCAGGATATGGAGAAGGCTGAGGTACTCAATAACTTTTTTGCCTCAGTCTTCATTGGCAAGTACTCCAGCCACACTGCCCGTCACAGAAGCCAAAGGCAGGGACTGGGAGAATGAAAAAACGCCCGCTGGAGGAGAAGATCAGGTTCAAGACCATCTAAGGAACCTAAAGGTGCACAAGTCCATGGACCCGATGAGACGCATCCACAGGTCCTGAGGGAACCTGAAGTGGTTAAGCCACCATCTGTCATATTTGAGAAGTCATGGCAGTCTGGTGGTTCAGCTCTGTGGCCCTCAACATAAGAAACACATGGACCTGCTTGAGCAGGCCCAGAGGAGGCCACGAAGATGATCAGGGGACTGTAGCCCCTCCCTTATGAGGACAGGCTGAGAGAATTGGGGTTGTTCAGCCTGGAGAAGAGAAGGCTCTGGGGAGACCTTAGAGTGATCTTCTAGCACTTAAAGAGGCTACAGGAAAGCTGGGGAGGGATTCTTGATCAGGGAGTGTAGGGATAGGACAAGGGGTAACAGTTTTAAACTGAAAGAGGGAAGATTTAGATTAGATAAAAGGAAGACATTCTCCCCTGTGAGTGTGGTGAGGCCCTGGCACAGGTTGCCCAGAGCAGCTGTGGCTGCCCCCTCCCTGGAAGGGCTCAAGGCCAGGTTGGACGGGGCTTTGGGCAACCTGGGCTAGTGGAAGGTTGTCACCCCTTCAGCAGGGGGTTGGAACTAGATGATCTTCAAGGTCCCTTCCAACCCAAACCATCCTGTGATTCCACGATTTTTGTTAAGCACTCCTTGAGCTATACGAAGCAGTATAGAATAAGCTGCATTTGTTTTGTCTTTAAATCTTCTTGCACTTTCCTGTAAAGCACTGACACGTCTGAAATCTTCAGATGCCATAAAAGAGGCAGAAGACTTGATTAAACAGCTGCTCCTGTTATCTGATTTAATAGTGGAGATGAACTGAATGTTCTTGTGATCCAGAAGGTTTCCAAAGAAGTATGCTGATTTGTGAGCTTGCGTTTGGAAATTGCCTTCATCCTTCAGAGCAATGCAGTGAATCATTGGAGGGGGTGAAAAAACTACAGCTGTTGAGTGGCGTGTGGTAGTAGGCACTACCTAGCAGTAGGCACAGAAACCAAAGGGGACATTATCTACAGTGGGAACATCAGGAGGAGACGGCATGTAGGCAGAATAAAACCATCTAAAATTGTGCAAGGCTGGCACTGCAGAAATACTACTCTTCCTTTTATATACCAAGAGTGAAATGGAGAAAGAGCTGATTCATTCTTTCTCTGCATTATTTACGCCAAAGTAAAACAAGTCTAAAATAACTCTCACAGGGTGGAGTTTTTCACTCTCTTTGCAATAGAACAAATGCAGAATTGTTCCTAAAACTCTTACGACATAGCTTTGGTCTTACATGGGTTCTCTGGGAAACCTTTCCATTTTGCATCTCATCGGGATTTGCTTGTGTGTGATCTCTCATGACACCATGCCTATTTGGACTGCCAATCTAGCATCCTCTTGTTAGAAGACAAGCTTTTTACGGACATTAATGCTGCTAATACTCAGTTCTGAAAATGAGTCATTGGGAATAGAGTTCCACAGTCCAGCTGGCTCTCACCAGCATCTTTGTCCACAATCAGCTATCTGTCTAGAAATCTGTTCTCTGGCCTAGACTACTGTTGCTGAAATATGCGCGTAGTTAGGTGCAACTGAGAGAAATGAAATTATATTATCGTACTAACTTCTGTAACTTGCTAAAGTTTCAGGGTTATGAAGGATGTGCAGCTGTGTATTAAAGAAAACATGGAGTCAAGTACAGAGTGTGCTGCATGGTGAAGGCTAATGATTTTCTTATCTCTTCTTTATCCCTAATAACATTGAGGTTTATCTAGATTTGATTGTCAGATAAGCAGAAATCTGGTAATCCCATAGTGAAACTAGAAGATACTGCTGTTAAGTATCAAATGTTTCATGTCTTTTTATTTTAGCATATTTAATTTATGTCACAAAATATCCACTCTTACATAAGCTCTGGGCAAATCAATGGCAGAACAATCTCTAGGAAAACAAGAGGCTGTGATATTAGAGATTTACTAACTCGGTGTTACTGGTGAGTAAGCTAAAGAGTGGAGGAAACACCCGAAAACCACAGAGCTACTGAGAAGCCAGCTGGCCCATCCTCCTGCCCCAAGGCAGGTTCAGGTATTCCATGCCTTTCCTGGCAATGCTTACCCGGACAGGTCTTAAATGCCTCCAAAGACGGTGGCCCACAGCATCCACTGGCAATCTGTCCCAGTACTTAGTCATTCCTGTCAGTTGGCCACTTACCTTTGAAGTGTGGTTACCCTTTGAAATCTAGATTATACCTCTTCAGATCCCACAGCCTCTCTGTTCTGTTTATTATTTCTACCCTTTTTGTTTTCACTCTGCCCCCCCCTACACACAAAAGGAGCTTTTTGGATTTAACTGTTACTATTATTTCAGTTGAAGTCGCTCAAATACAATAATGCTGGCCAGCAATACAACGCCCTTAGGACAGATGCTTCTAAAACTTCAGATGACTTTCTCAAATCCTACTCCAGCAAACTCACCTAGTGTTTTGAAATTCAGGCTTCACCTTCTTTGCCTGTGAGATTTACCAAATAAAAGATCTCCCGGTGGAACCTGCAGTAGCTGTCTGCCTTCATGGTACAAACAGAACTGCACCCAGACCTGCTGTACTGTTATCTGTGACCCTGAGCTACTCACAGAGTAAAAATGGGAACTGAGGAAACCGCTGTTTTCACGAAGGCACCTTTCAGGCAATGACAGCATTGGTTCCCTTTTCCTTCCTGAAGGTTTGGGCACAGTTGTCTTGCTGTTCAGGGTAGCGGGTGTCTTGGCTCTTAAGCAAAGCAGGGAGCCAAATGCTGGTTTTGGACAAGTCTTTAGACAGAACAGTATTTGGAAGTGTAGGGATCTTTTTAGTGGACAGATGCACATTCTGTCCTTCTGCAGAAGGCTGGGCAGAAAACACGTACTGGAAAGAGCTGTGGACCATACTCAGGAGAAAAAGGGCTGGAATACAGCTTGAGAGGCCAACTAGTTGCACGCTTGGCCAGTCACGCAAAATTGCGGTGGCAGTCAACAGCTTTAGCAGTATGGGTTATTGAGATTCCCCAGCTTTCCATCCCAAAGGCATTTCCCCACAGGACTCGTCTGACATGAACAAAGAGTGACAGTAGGCAAGGAGCAGCAAAAGAAGTAGAGGAGCCAGAATGTGCCCTGTTCCTAGCCTCTCGTCACGTCCTTTGTAAAACCATCAAGAAAATGGCTCGAGTCTAATGCTTCACAGGCTTTCCCACTCCATACGCTGCCCTACTCCTTTTTAGCTCCTGTTATGGTCCTACAGGCAGCCTTTGAGGTCAGATCACAAGGGGTTGCAGATGTGGAGACACAGGGATTTCAGTGGCTGTCCCAGGGAATGAGTGGTGCAGAGAAGATTCTTTCATCTCTTCAGGGCAATGCATTGCCTCCTATATTTTTATTGTTTCCCCTGTGAGGTTTTCCTATGGGAGGGAACAAGTGAATTAACTATTTTATCATCTCACTTGTGTCCTCCCTCTGAAAGAAGGCATTCTCTTTTGTGCCAGTTTCATTGTTTGATGTAATCAGACTGGCTGCTAATCAAAGTGATCTCAGAGGCCTAATTCTCTACCTGATCTCTCTCTGTTTGTGCTTCAAGGTCTTTGACAGGGTCCGAGAAGATTGCCCTAATTTCCATGAGAAGATTAAGCCTATTAATGCTGAACTCTGCCAACCCAAGCTGGCCATCAGTGCTGAAGATGAAGAGGAGCTTCTGACCCGGGTCAATATTGTCTTCCACTGTGCAGCAACGGTTCGCTTTGATGAACCCCTGAAGTATGTCCTGCTTTCTGTATTTGCTAAGCATGATTCAGAATGCACGATAGCCCATATAACACGCCGTTTAGTTCACCTCCCGTATAGCTGCGGTAATAACTCTCCGATTACGTTTTCATGCTACATGTGGTTCCGCACTGAATGTGCGGTGTAAACGCTCTGAAAAATGTCATGTGCATATGCACGTCAAAAGTGAAGTATCTTGGCAGATTTCCATGGGAACAGAAGGAAGTACTGCAAGCTTGGGTTGTAATATTGCAAGGGAGTTAAGTATGACCTAAAAATGGGATAGAGAAAAGTGTGGTTTAGGTCAAGAGGGAGATGTTTTGGCAGAACTAGCTGGAGACAGCTTGAAGTGGAACTATGTTGTGTCTATCTCTAAAGCTAGTGTTAATGGCCTTTCTTTGTCACTGAGTAACTGAAGAGGGAAATGAGACGTTGTTTAAGAAAACAGCCTATCGCAAACTCTAAAATACCCAACACTCGGTGTAATTAATTGTTTACGATAAATGCTGTTTCTGAAGGAGCTCCCTTGAGAGTGCCTGTCCAGGCAGGCTTTCCATTAAGAAAGAACAGCAGAAATAAGCCACTAAACCAAGATGAGATGTCTAAGTGCTTTTATGCAATTTATAAAGGTCAGCAAACTGAGGTGGATGATCTGGATTGCCAGATCTTCAGTTTTTTAAAACGCTAAAGCTGTGAGAGTAGAAAACACAATTATTAGTATCATTCTTCATTTGCTTATATATAGCCTAAATATCCTAGATAGCCAGAGTCCACCATAAATAACTGCTTTTTGCAACAACTGGAGGACCCACCAGAAATGAAGCAGCTCTTGATTTAATCTTGAGGAGCCAGGTGTAGAACCTGCTCGAGATATAAGTAGCAAAGTACTTCATTAATAGCCAAAAATGTTCTTAAATCGATACACGAATGAACATGCTATAAAAATACATCAGAGTGGCATGTAACATCGAAGGGAAACCACGTTTTTAATAAGGAGGGTAGCTAGACAGAACTTAAGTTAAAATTGTCATCCGCTTGTAGAAACTATTTAAATGCTGATTGCATGTGATGTGTCAGTCTTTCTACCAGAACAAGGAAAATCCAGTATGGTTAAACAGCAAAATACAAGAGGTTGTTAAAATCAAATTACTCCTGTCTGAGTAATAAAATTTATCACATGGGTCAAAGTTCTAGCACGTTAAATGTGAAAGCACGATACTTCAAATAAAAGTTTTGAAGAGCAATTTGCTAACGACATAATAAAAATAGTCTTTAAACAAGGCAGAAACCCAAAAGCCTACCACAGAGTATGTCGAGTCGATAGATAAGGGAGGTGCTATCAAGATACTGGAAAAGCATCAAAAGAGAAACTAAATTAATTACTGGCATCAACATGCAGTACATTTAGGGAATTCTCAAGATGGAATTCTGGAGGGAGAAATCTGAGAAAACAGTGTTATCTTAAAATATTAGTAAATATAGTTTTCATATAAATAGAAAAAATAAAGAGTAACAAATCACCAGTGTTGGATGATATTCCCCTGGAAGGCTAAAGGAACTCTGAACATCTCAGCAGAAATCCATGCTGGGCCCATATTCCGAGCACAATTCTGTTCACCCCCTCTCAGAAGGGATACGGTCTAATAGAAATGTACGTCAAAGAGTAACATTCATATGAAGGGAAGCTGCACTAGAAGTATTCATCCTGCTAGAAGGGTAGGAGGAAATAAAAATCTATAGAAAATGCTATTCTTTAATGGAAGCATGAAAAAAAAAAAAAAATCTCTGGCTTTAGACATTGTGATCCAAACATTAATCATATTCTTAGCTTCTATTTTCATTCATCTGGACTATTTACAATTTCGCTTCAGAGCTAGTGTAATTAATTTCTTTAGTGTACACTGTACTTGATAGCATTACGCATAATCTTGTACGTGTTGTTGAAAGCTTCTACTCCTGGGCTGAACAGATTGCGTATTCCTTAGCCTTTTCCCATCTGTGCAGGGAAGTGTCTTTCTCCCAGTACAAAGCGTGCAACAAAGTTGAACGTCTGTTCACCGAGATCCGCTGCAGATAGTCTCTAGGATTTACAATTTATAGCTATGTGCTGGGTGCTTCAAGGTCAACCTTGATAACCAGGACTTCTTTTCTCTTGCGCTTATCAATTCTCTTCCCCATTCCTTGGGAAATTAAGCTGTTACCTCTGATTGTGTATTCTTTCAGTATGAGTCTGGTTTTTCTGGGCCCAAGGACCGTTAGCTGCTTACTAAAACCGTGTGTTTACCTGGTTTAGCAGTGATCCCCTAAGGAGAAAGTTGAATGGGTACCCATCGGAACCATAATGCCTCGGTGGTCATGTGTGTTGAAATATTTGTTCCAGGAGGGGGTGGCAGATATATCAGATGACGAGATGTTAGTGATCCTTTGAATTGAGTCAAAAATTTTTGAGAGAGATTCTGTGGCCAGAATAGCAAATCCAAAGCATTTCTCTGAAAGCTGATTTAGCCCTTGCGTTTTATTGAAGCTTTCCACTCTGCTGTGGGCCCTTCTCTTGACTTTTCCATCTTTGGGGTTTGGATGATGCTCAGCTTTGATATATTCTTCCCTGTGAAATGCATTTTCTTTGTCTCCTGCCCTCTTTAGACACGCCCTCCAACTGAACACAATGGGCACGCAGCGGCTCCTAGAGCTGGCCCGGCAGATGCAGAACCTTGAGGCCTTCATCCACATCTCCACCGCCTATGCAAACTGCATCCGGAAAAGCATAGACGAGATCATCTACCCACCCCCAGCTGAACCCAAGAAGCTCTTCGATTTAGTAGAGTAAGTAGGAACTGCCCTGCCTCTTCTGACACTGGGTTTTGCTTCGTTCTGCAGAAGACCTCCGAACTGTTCATATAACCTGTCCCGTGGGGTTTCTGTTCGTAGTTGGTTTTCTTGCTGTATGACCTTGTCTGTGTACACTCTGCCAGCAAGAAATGATGGTCAAAATAAGAGTGAGACCGAGAGAAGAGCGAGCTTTCCTTCTAGGTGGTTTTGAGGGGTACTTTCCACAGAATGCCACCCAGTCAGTCTGTCCTTTCTGAATTTTCTCTTGAAACTAGCTTTACTAAGGTTTTTTGAAAACAGAAGCAAATACTCTGTGTTGGAGGCTTTTTATCTGGAAAGCTGCTGAAGTGCTTTATCAACATTTGGTTGAGCTTAACAATACTTTTCCAAATACAAAAATTTGAAAAATTATTAGAAAAAGTATTTGAAAAGAGCATAAACTACACTTAATAACCCTGTGATTTCAGCTACCTCTACTGCTTTCCATGCACTATTTAAAAAAAAAAAGACTGTGTGGTTTCATGAGTGTCCAGCATTGAATAAGTTATGCACGAGTGCATTTGCTATCAGGAATGGAGTTCTGGCCCTTCCTTCCGTAAGACTCTGCTCTGTTGCTACCTGAGTAAGAACCAAAATTTTTCATGTACCTTACGTTAATTTCTTTATCTTTCCAGTTTACCAACATTGTCTCCACTTATTTCAACTATCGTGTGTATTAAACCAGACCTACATGAGGATGAGTCAGAAACAGGCTCTTTTAGAAAGAGTTTGGTGTGAGGATCCAGAACTTTGAGGGAACAACAAAAAGGCTTGTTTGTCTGGATTTACTGCAGATGCCACGACACCTTCCTCTTAGAAGAATTTTCCCACAGCTGTAACTTGGTTTTCATTTATTTTCTAGTGGTATTCCACTTGTGTGATGTAAGCAGCTGACCTATGAACTAGTAACCCGAGGAGCTGGTATAACGTCTTTCTTCTCCTTGGTTTAGGATAATAGGAGATGAGATGAATTCATGTCCAGCAGGAGAACCGCTGAGGTTTTATATCAAAAAACTGTTTGCCAAAAAAAAAAAATTTGACTACACTGCTCCAGAAAATTTAGTACAAATTGGTGTTTTCTTTTAATAATTTTTCCAGTAGCCCATATTCTTGGATATGTTCCAGCTAGTAGTCATCTATCGTTTATCATTTATTCAGCAAGTGGAGCATGATAAAAGTGTAAGAAATGCTCTAGTGCATTAGAGCCCTGGGCTGCCTAGCCCAGTATCTTGCCCTCAGCAGTGGCACTGGGAGATGCTGTTTAGGGTAACTACGCAAGCCTGAATATATTTTTGCAGTTCCCCTTGTAGCCTCCCAGAAACCAGAACTGTAGCACAAGGGGTGTTACATCCGATTCTTTTTTGACCCATTTTTGAATCGATTAATTTGTTTAATCCCTTTTTGGACTTTCGGATACTCTGCCTTTGCAACCCCCTGTGGCAGCAAGTTCCAGAAGTTTGCTAGCTAACGGCTGCATGAAGACGAGCTTTCTTTTACCTGTTCCAAGCTGTCATGCTAATAGTTTTGCTGCATGTCCCGTAGTTGCAGCATTGCAGCATCTGCAGTATCGCCCTGTTCACTACCTCTGCAGTTCTGTAAATCTGTACTGCATTCACCCTGGGCCTTCACTTCTGCAGCCTCAAGAGTCCCGGAATTTTTACTGTCTCCTCACTCACCAACGGATCTGTCTCCCTGATTGTCTCCTTGATCTTTCTCGTTGATCTCCTGATGATCTCCTTGGTTGCCCTTCCTCTCTGCCTTTTTTAAACTTCACTCCCCCCCCTGAGGTGCAAGGGCCAAACAGAACTGCGTGCAGTACTCAAGGTGTGGTCGCTCAAAGTTTTATTTCAGTAGCTTCATAGGACACTGTTGGTCTTGTTCTCAGTACCTGATGATGTCCAACATTTCACTGACATTTTTGTCTGCTGCCACTCATTGACTTGGAGATTTCATAGACAGTCAGCTGCACCTCCAAGAGCTCTTGCTGAGCTGCAACTGACAGTTCTGAGTTCCTCAACCTCTTAAGACCAGTTTAGACTGCTTTTCCCTAAATGTATTACCTTGCCTTTATTTACAGTGAAGCTAATCTGCCACATTTTTCCCCACTGACTCTTTTTTTTATAACATCCTTTGGAGTTCATCGCTATCAATATTACATTTCACTGCCCCAAAAAGCTTACCATCACTTGCAACTTTGGAAACAATTAGCATGGATGGCTCAGATAAAAAAAAAAATGCTGCTTCATATAAGACACTAGGAACTCATTTATCATAGTTTGCACGTGCAGCAGAAAGGGTGATGTTTGAAAGACAAGTTGAGTGGCAGAGGACGGGCTTTCAGATGTGTTCTTTGATGTGTTTATCTTGGTAGTATGTTGCATGGAGGTTGTTTTTTCTTAGCCGCATAATTAGAGATGGGTTTTCTTGCTTTTTCACTAGATTTTTCAATTTGTTTTACTGGTGTAGTTGAGAACTGTCAATGTTAGGTTAATGGTTGGACTGGGTGATCTTCAAGGTCTTTTCCAACCAAGATGATTCTGTGGTTCTAGATTCTGGGGGTTTTTTTCTGTGTCGCATACTCCTGAAGTTCACACCTTCCAGTACTTTTAGTGAGACAGAAATCACAGCATGCCCTCAGCTAGAGTATCATCTGCTTCTTTACAGCGTTTGCAGGTAGCAGTATGATTGCTCACAGCAAAGACAGCCACTGCTTTCAAAGGCATTGAAATCAGGTGGGCCTTGTTGAAAATCACTGTCTCCGGGATCACTGGTGTGGAAGGTGATCTGCAAATCAAAGGCAGTATGTGAAAGAGAGACACAGGGCTGTAGAGTGTGATGGGGAAAGTCCCTGGGTTGTGGGATAACGTGACACAGGCAGAACAGGATAGACAAAACTCTGAGAAACTGTGAAGGTCGGGAGATTACTTGGAGGCGGGGAGAGAGAGAAGATATAGCAGGGTTGGAAGGAGATGGGAAAGATGCCTTTTATTATTCATGCTGTAAGTGGAAGACATAATATGTGGATATCTGGGTACAGAAGGTTTCAGAGAAAGGGGATTAACAGATCTCAGAATGTTACCTTCAAAAAGGGTGGAGGACAAAAGCAGACAAGGAAATAAAAACTCTCTTCAAAAAGGGGGAAGAAATACAGGTCGTGTTTTGCATCAGCCAGCTGTGAAAGCTTCCCTTCACAAACAACCCGTGTGCCCTGCCAGCACATTAAGTGCATCACACAACTGGATGCAATAACAGATTTATTTAATGATGCTTTTGTCCACATAGGACTCCCAGCTCTTTCTTTGTCTGTTCTTATCCTCCTATTATATCCTTGCATTCCAGTATTTTGATATTTAACCTGCAAGTAAAGTCTTAGGCTTGATCTGTGTAAACCAGAAGTCACGCTTCTAAGTGCTGCCAGGCCAACAGAGGAAATATATAATCTTGCCACATCAAGCAAGGTTTGCCTTAATCTAAAGCTGAGGGAAATCAGCTTTGAAGGATGTGCTGAGGTAAGGAACACAGCGCACAGTGAAGTGTGGGCTGAAGTAGGACTGGGTTTTGTTATTGTAGAAAATGTAGATCAGTCATCATTTACAAGAAATAGAGTGTCTTATTAATGCAAAGTTAACACGGAAAGTTATGTTTTCCTATGGCATAGTCATTTTGTGCATATATGTAGTGAAAGAAGAGGTTACTAATTGTTTCATTTGCATCTCTTGTTTCTGTGGGGCAATTGCAGCGGTGAGCAAAAGCAGAGGCTTTTTGATTTAGCATTTCAAAATCTTCAAAAGTAGGTCACAGAGGAGTAGGAGCAGTTTGCTTCGCTGAACTGGCAGCTTAGTGCTCCTGTGATGGTAATGTTGGTTGATCAAATCACCTGGTAGGATGGTACCCTTGAGGCAGGCAGGAGCGTGGTCCTCTCAGTGACCACTTAAAGTGATGCAGAGGCCTGTCTGGAAGGATGAGGGCAAAGGGAAATGGCTTCTCCTTGTACTTCTACAGCTGCTTTGTGAGAATGATAACCTGTAAGCCCCTATTATTTAAAGAAAAAAAAAAAAAAGTGGAAAAAAAAAACTTGTATGCAGCTTAATCTTGAGTTTCTAAATGAATTTATTCTTCCTCCAGGCTCTGCAGGAATAGACATCTCCTTGTGGTAGGCTGGTAATTAATTACTTGACAGATTCAAACAATGGCAATTTAGTTGAGACCCTGAGGAGGCTGGGTTCAACGGCTGCCTAAACAGGCTTTGTAAATTAAGTCAATATTGTGTGCTGCTTATAGCCTCTGCGTACTTTAACGTCATATTTTATGCTTAAAAAATTTTTCTGACTTGTTTCTGAAGCATGCGACTACGGTTGCTAAGTGTTTGTGCCTCCATAATGCTTTTTTTTTTTTTTTTTTTTTTTTTATATTTAACTATAGTAGTACTACTGCTAATAATTATTATAATGCTTCTAATAATAATACTACTAACTATATTCTAAAAGCTGTCAGGTTCTTTTTAATTCATTCCAAAACTGATTCACTGAATTCAACCCTCCCCTGCAAACTGTTTTGTAGCTTCAGTGAATAAATGTTTTCTCGTGCAGCACTTTTCCTGTAATATTTCCATCTGTGTCTAATGAGAGCCATCTGAAAAGCAGTGTGCCACCTGAGCTATCAGGTGTTTGCACGTTTAAGTTGACATGATCAAGTAATTCTCCAGGTGTGACCGTCCCCATTCCTCTCCCCTTGACCTCCACCAGTTTCTGAAATTCAAGATGAGGAGGGGTGAAGCAAGGATCTGTAGGAACCAGTATCCTTGCAGTGCCCCTAAGAAGAGCAACACCTGGTCAGTCTGAGCAATAAGTCCATTAACTTAATTACAAATTGGATTATAGGAGTTAATCTTGGAATCTGTGGTGTAACACCAGAGCGCTGAAAGCCTGTTGGGGATTGGCAGCGGTGTGGAAGGGCACTGGAAGTACAGCCAGTTCCTGTCCTTTAGACCCAAACGCTGTCAGGACCGGTGAAACCTTGATGATGTGCCAGGGAAGAGCCTTTGAGCTGCGGCACCACAGTAGCGAAGGACACTCTTTTAAGGGTATATATGTAACTACTGCTGATGGATTAGATACTTGAATACCTAAAAAAAAAACCCAAACAAACAAAAAAAAAAAAAACCAACAAGTTAACGGTGTCTTTTGGGGGTTTGTTTTTGGGTTTGGGTTGGGTTTTTTTCATTTTTAAGCAGCTAGCACTAACATTTTCTTAATTTCCTACATGAACCAGTGAAAAACAGTAGGAAGAAGCATCTAACATTGTAAACAGTGCTGCTGGAATAATATCTCTGTAGCATATTTTTCCAGCTTTTGAGACCTTTGTATTGCTACTCAACTCAGTAACTCAAGGTTACCAGGAATCTCCTGAAGCATACTTGGGAGTATATAGGGACTCTGATGGATAAGGCTGAGTGGTTCCTAGTGAGAGTACAAGGTTGGAAAGCTCCGTCAGTCTGTAGACCATGGCTGTATCTACGTTACAGATTGCAGTGCAGCATAAAGTACACAAGAGACTGCTTTAGGATGAGGCTGTGTAATACCTGGAGTTGAGTTGGACATCATAGCATGAAGCTCACCGAGTTATTTTTCATTTTGATGACAGAAGTAACCTCTGTCACACAGAGCTGTTCTAAATCCAAACAAGTTGCTCCTTGCTTTGTCTTAAATAGTCCTTATATCTTCCTTATCCTTTGTTTCAGGTGAGGATTCCTGTCTTACTGGTCTTTTTTGCCTCAATCTCTTCTCTCTGCACGGCAGATAATGACATTCTCCTTGTTTCCTGTAGGTGGTTGGATGAATCTATCATTCAAGACATCACACCCAAGCTGCTTGGGGAATGGCCCAACACTTACACCTACAGCAAAGCCTTGTCAGAATACGTGATTCAGCAAGAGAAAGGAAACTTGAACATTGCTATCATCAGGCCATCCATCGTGGGAGCTAGCTGGCATGAGCCTTTCCCAGTAAGCATGAATACATAGCAAATCCCTACCGAGAGCCCTTTGATACAGCTGTAGCTGCAGTACTGTCAGGAACTTGTAGCACTTGAGAAACAGGTACTCCAGTTCATAGGGAAGCATATGGAAGAGGTGGAGGACCTGTGCTGGAGTAGAACAGCCAAACTTATTCAGCGTCTTCAGGAAAGACTCTTGTCTCCAAGTGAAAAGAACGTATTTAAGCAATAATAACAAGAGCTGGGATAATAATGGTGCAAAATCCTGGACTTGCAGCTGACAGTCTTACACACAGAGGATCATGCCCAGACAGACGCACGAGGGAGTTTCTGTACTAGCTGGGGAAACACAAGAGGGTCAGTCATAGTCCTGATGCATCCTGGTTCAAGTCTTTCCATGGTCTAGTCAGCCCATTAATGAGGTCCTGATGGGCACCCTGGACCTCTCATGGTCCTTGAATGCATTTGATGATGTTTTTGCAGCTACCTAGTATCTCTGTCTTACGTTGGCAGTCACTGAATTCACTGGATTCACACTTGTATGGGCCTGTTGCAGATACATATGTCAGCCACGCAGCTGTACTTCTGGACTGAAATAATTCACTAAGCTAAATATACTGGTAGGAATAATGTACCCTAACATTGCAGCCAAATGGGAAAGTCAGCATAAAGTCACCTTTGGCTTTCCTGCAGCTTGAAGCATGCCAAAGATGGCTGAGATATAGCTAAGGCTCTGGGCCAAGCTGCCCGTCTTGGAAAGACAGAGTGAACTCTGTTAGGTGTCATAACCCGTGTCACATCACACAGTTCATCACTGCTCTTAACTCCAGCTCCCACAAGTGGCAGTTTCCCTGACCTGAAGCAGGATGGGATTCAGAAGTAAAATGGGTTTTGGTTTTTGGTTGGTTTTTTTTTTCCTTCTTTGGCTTATAAATTAGCTGGAGTAACCGAATCAGTCTCAGCGACATCTGCACGTTGTATGTCAGAGGGTAAATAACACGCGGACTGTTTTCAGCAAGTGTGACAGCACCAAGGCACTGTAGTGTTCAAAGCCAGAGTTTATTCCTGTAGCCAGGTTATTACAGGAAAGAAGCAGTTTCTAAAAACAAGATTAGATTCTGTTGTTGATGGGTAATTTGCAGACGGAATGAGGTATCAGACAATACATCCCCTATTGAAAATCAATTAGGTACTTCGTACGGGTTAGCTTCCTGGCAGCTGTTCCAGGGAGGCTGGCATCCATCTTAACTGGTGTCTTGTTGCATCTCTGTCTACACCACAGCATTACAGCCTTTTCATCATTTCAAAGCCTGTGCAAGCAACGTGTCATTGAAAGAAATAGTAATCATTCTTCTTTTTTTTGCAGGGTTGGATTGACAGCTTCAACGGGACAAGCGGAATATTGATTGCGGTATGTCTAGTTACTATTTAAGCTTCCCTTAAAAGCAGAGTTACTGAAATAGCAACTCTAAAGTTACTCTATAGCCCCACTTAGAAATTGTGTGCAAAACGGGATCATAGGATTTTTCTGAATCTGGTAGAAAGATGTCGCACACTCGCCATACATCCGTATGCCTGTAGGACCCAGAAGACTGTCTAGTTGTGCTGTGCTCAAAAAAAGGACGTGGAAAGAGTATTCGTGCTGCTGGTTCACTGAATGTGAATTGCAGTTTCTAAAAACTCTAAGAAAATAAAAAAAAAATCAAGTTTTGGACAAATTCAGCCAAATTTTCAAAGAAAAGGCAAAAGATACATCCTTGAAACTAGGATAATTAACAAACGTCAAAGCCTGATTCTTATAAGGGAATTTTCCAACCCAGATTACGGTACCATCAAGACGAGGAAGCATTATTTATCCTTTCATTTATCTTCGCGTGTATTACTCCTAAATCCACTGCTGGAGTTTGTGGCCACTTCACAATAACAAAAAATGGGTCTCACGCCGTTGCTTTATACAGGATTTCTCTTAAGTGCAGAGCACACCTAAATAATGTGTATGACCGTCAACGCAGACTCCGCCAGTCACGTGGATAATTCACTATACTCCCGTTTTACACCAGTGTTAATAACTACTGTGAGGAACAAACCCACAAGATAAATCATTAATAACTTGATCAAATATTCCCTGTAACATAAAAACAACCATTACAATTTACCATATGAAAACGGAAAAGTTGCATACCTTTTCTCCTGGCTTTTTTGCTTTTTTTTTTTTTTTTTTTTTTTTCTCTTTGTCAATGCACAATGCTGTATAGCTATGGGCAGATATTTTTGTTCATGTATGATTTATCCAACTTGATTACTTTGTAAGAACTATATTGTAATCAGCGTGGTGCGGCGTATAAAAGGATTAGTAGTTTACAATCATAGGAGAGCAGAGAAAAATCCAAATACCGTTTTGTTTCAAAAGCTCGTCTATACCTGAAGTAGAGCATAAATAGGAACTGTTACAGTCACTTCTGGAATCCACAGGGTTGGTGAAATTAGTGGGTGTATCCCAGCTAATGCTGTTATCTGAAACCCTGGTTACACTTTTAAGAATATTTTCAGAGTAATTCAAAAGCCCCTAAATGCGTCATTTGTGTTCATGAAGTGTCGTTAGCTCTCAAATAATTATCTGCCTTTTACTCATTGCTGACTGCTCATCAAGCTTGTACCACCTCTCTGCTCTAGTCCCAGCATCTTGTGGTGTTTTCTGTATTCTTTTATGACATCTTGTCATCACCACGGTAAAGAAAGTTCCCTAATTTTGCACATCCACTTCTTACATTTTCATGTGACAGGTTCTAACTTTTGTGATGTTATCTGTGAGGTTTTTTGTTTTTTTTTTTTTTTTTTTTCTTTTCATCTGCCAACAGGTATAAAACACCTAATGATTAAGTATTTGGAAACTTTGCCCATGCATCAGTCTCTTTTTTTTTTTTTTATAGTATCTGCTTTAGAAACTTACACTAGAGCTTGCATATATTTTATATGCTTATCCTTTGCCACTCATACTGATATTTTCTGTTCTAATAACTAATATTTTCTGTTCTTCAAGAAATTTCTAGCCTTACTGATTGCAACCACAAACCTAATGGTGGTTTCACTCAGGCTAGGTTTCACACACAGATGCCAGCCTGTATCTTTATCTCCAAATTAACTCTATGGAAAGTCAAGATTTTGAGATTCTAGGGTCATTGTAGTAAATAACTTCCCCTTTTATAGAAAAGCTTTGACTTGTACTGAAATACTTTTGAAATAGAAATGATATTTTTTTGGTTCAGGATTGAAGCTGTGAGGTTTTTCAGCATAGGATTAAAGAGACAATGAAATTCTTGTCGTCTGCACGGAGCTGTGGTGCTGTAATATGATGATTTTATACATAACTATATTGAGGCTTAACCGAGAAAAAGACAATGAGCAATGACAAGAGGTGCAGGGTGTAGAGACCGGATTGTTGGCTCTTTGGCTGCACGGGCAGCGGTGCTGGCTCAGGAGCAGAGACTCCGTGATGTGGAGAAGCGAGGGGAGACTTGCCAGTGCTGACAGACAGTATTTGTCTTGTGCCATCTCCAGTGGCTGCTGAACTTAGCTGGACTGGTACTAGTTTTCTGGAATTGATAGGTATTTATTATTAGGGAGCCCAAGAGAGTTTTGGTCTTCTGAGGGGGGGAAAAAAAAAATACATGGTTTGAATTAATGTGCTTGGATATGGTCGATTAGTAAATCCTGTCTGAAAATTAACCCTTGACCGCGTGAGCTACACGTTAGTTTGATTATCTGGAAGTTGTGTGATTACAACCAGCTGTCTCAGCCAACTGTATTTCAAAGTGTGTTTATTAGTCAAGTAGCTTTATTAGCCTTAATTGAGGATGGAAAAAGCAAAAGGGAAGTGTTTGGGTGTTTGTGTATTTTTTTTAAAGTCCTCCCTATACTAAAATATTCATTTACCATTTCTAACCCAAGCTCATCCTATATGGACGGCCCCCAGATTCAGATTTGATTCAGATGATCTTTGGGATCATCTGGGCAGAAGCTGAACCCCAAAACTTGCAGAGTTGTTGTTTGGCTTTTTTTTTTTCCCCCCTCAGTCACCACTACAATATTTGAGTCTGATGATTTCATTCCACTAATAGATATATTAAATATTCATGAAATATGGGAGTTCAAGTTGTTCTTGATAGTCTAATTGTTTCTTTTGCCAACAGTTGCTCCAGCTGCTGTGGGGAGAAGCTTTGTTGATTGAAAACCAAAATGAAATTACTTACATTTCCGCTGGACTGTAATTGAAGCATTTTGTCTCGCTGTCCTGTATTACGTGTAAAGACCTTCTTCCCTGCAAGGCAGTGAAGCTGTAGGGCAGAACCGTGGTTTAATTCATGTTCTGGACAGTGACTGGCCCCAAAGCACTTCAACTGGGAGGCTGTCCAGAAAAATCAGACTCAGACTGGGAAATTATTTTGGAGGCTTCAGCTACAGTAGCTTCTATTTTACTAAAGAGAAAAAAGTCAGCAACTATAAATAGAAATCAAGCCATACCTGACAAAGAAGTACCAAATAATTTCTAATGTAAAAAGTAACTTAAAACACCTAAACCTGAAGTCTTTATTAAATATACAATATATGAAATCTCTAATTCATTCATGGGTATATGACCATCACGTGCTGCTCTGAATACCGGCATGTTTGCAGCACATCCATCGAACGTCATAGTTTTGGAAACGTCAAAAAGGTCCTTTAGAGTACCTGTGAAAATGTGGTAGCTGGTCACAGAGCGGTTTCTAGTGGGCATGTGTTCACAGCAGTGGAAAATTCATGGCTGAGCTGGATTTGCTGCTTTGGTTCTTTTTGCTTTTTTTTTCCCCCCTTGGAAAATCAGTAGTGGGAACAACAGCAAAAAAAAAAAAAAAAACCAACATAGTGGTGTTGCAAGTTGAGGTTTTCATGTCTAAGCATCACTGTGGTTCAGCTTAGGGCAGCAGAGGTTAGCTGCGTGCCATGGCTTTGAGGAGGATGGAGTCGTGTGGTGAAGCTTACACCGTTGCCTGTGTTTGACCCTGTGATCTCTCTGCCAGCTGCACCAAGGATGAGATGTAACTGCTCGGGAGCTAAGGCTTATGAAAATTAATTCAGCCGTAAGTGGTATTTCCCCTTACTTGCAAGCTGTGAAATGTAACAAACCCATCTGATTATAGAAGGGGACAGGACAAAAAAACCCCAGATAAACACCTCCCAAACAGGGGATGCAGTATCCCTTAAAATCCAGCAACGAGCAGCAGACAATGGCATGTGCTTTACAAGTTTATATCAAGTCTTAAATGCTTTTGGCATCACATCTTCCTTCTCCTCAGACTGCAAGCAAGGGGTTTTGCACGACTAGGCACTTCTTGTTTAGTTGCTGTAGTAAAACTTCATCTTTTGCAGCTGGAGAGCTATTTCATTGTGAAATGGGACTCTCAAGTTGGAAGAAAAGAAGAAGAAAAAAAAAAATTCCTTTGCCTGAACTTCTAAATATTCATGGATCTGTAGAGCATATTCCTTTTCCCCTTCACTCAGCCCTTCCCTCTGTTTTTTCATGGATCTAAATTACAAGAGCTTTCTTCCTTCCTTGTTTCACTAGCGCTTTTACATCCTCCCAGCTTTTTCACTGGCTCCTCAGTTTCTGCATCAAACCCAAATTCATTGCATTTTATTTCCCGCGTGCTCCATAACTTGATTGCGACCTTGACTCTGACATTGGGGGTTTCTTTTTTTATTTGCTCTGTTTAGCCCTCATACCTGACACGCTAGGTGAAGTTCTTTTACCCCCTTTCACCTCCACGTTTCTGTATTGCTGAATTGTCCTCTCTGATTCAGTCTGCCATGTTATTGCTGTCTGTTGCCATGTCTCTCCTGTGGAACCTCCAATCAACCAAAGGTCATCAGGAAAACCAATTTTATATATATATATACATATATATATATATATATATATATTCAGGTTGAATGTATATACTTTGGGGAGCCCGATCCCCTAGAAAATGCACTTCCAACCAAAGCAAAATGAAAATCTGTTCTTGCCCACCTCTTCTCGTTGGTCGTCAGTACTTTGTATTTTCACTCATTCATTCCCTGAGTTTTGTTGGGTGGTGAGCTCTTCAGAGCAGGGGCAATGTCTTGACTGTATCTTGACTGTAACGGACACACCTTTGGAAAAAGGGAGGGCCTGAATACATCCAAAGGAAAGGGAGGAGGCTTTTCAGAAAGCCTATTGGTGCCATTTCCAAAATGACAACTGTCTGTGAGGGACACTCGGACCTCTGTCTGCCCGTGTCATTTAAGAAAATGTAACTTCAGGTATTACTGGGCATTTTACCTCAGTAAATTTAAATCTGTTTCTTTCTCAAGGTATTTCTTTTATATTGAGTTAAATAAGAGTCACAGATTTTCTCCTTATACACAGCACAGACATCATCATGTTTTAGACTTCCTCTGAAAATGCAGAACAACGGGGTCCATGTAAGATCCATCTTTGTTTTCACAGAAACCAAATACTCTTCTGCAGCAGGTGCCAGGCTTGGAAAGTGCTAATGTGACGGTCTGTCCTCAATCCAAGCTGATGAAATCTTACCGTGGCCTGGCATCAGTGACGGTTTCCCTTTCTCCCACAGGCGGGCAAAGGGATTCTGCGGACTGTCATCGCCAACAACGAAGCAGTGGCAGATATGATTCCAGTAGACATCACCGTCAACCTCACCCTCGCCGCTGGGTGGTACACCGCTGTGCACAGGTGGGGAGGCTCGGGCTCTTTCTGCCAGGCTTGGGCATTGACTGCCCGCACTAGGACTTTGGAGGGAACCAGAACCTAATTGAAAAATCTGTGCAAGAGCCTGGTCGAGTCATTTTCACATTTTCTCCCCTCGGTTGACAAGGACTAAGAGCAGAGCAGAAGAAATAAAGGCAGGCTTTAGAGTTAGGCAATCTCCAAAGCTACACGTGAGACCTGTTTCCCAGTACAGCGTAGGCTCAGCTGACAAGTCTGTCTCTCAGAAATCACTTTTCTGAAGGCCAGAGGCCTTACTGCAGCTTCACAGCGGCCGTTTTTTGGGTCTCCTTTCTCAGGCAGCTGCACTGAGTGGCTTTTCAAGTGGCTTTTAGAGTTTTCTCAGTGAAAATGTTCTGCGTGTTTTCCTTGGAAAACCCCACACAGTATAATTATATTATAGGCTCATATAGAGACAATCTAAAAAAAAAAAATCCCATTCTTTGGATTGTTGAGAAGTGTATGTATAAGTGACATTGAGGATTTAAGATCTTTTCCTGTGAACCTCTGGCTCTGACCTTTAATCGTGAAGTGGGAAGTGCTGCAAAGTAAACCACATTAATTATTCTGGAGGTTTATGCAGAAATCAGTACCAGGCAAATAAAAGGCAGAAATAATTTAACTCTGAAAGACAAAGTAAACCCTCTGAGCTGAGGGTGGAAAAAAGCTGCATCCAGTAACCGAAATACAGGGATCCTAAAATGATCTTAAGAGGAAGCTCACCAGCTTTTCAGATTTATTTTTCTCACGGTTTTATCCCTTTCCATCAGCAACAGGCAAAGCAGAATGATCTGGGAAAAATAAATACAGCTTCCCCTTACACACCCACCCACTGAGAGCCTCCAGATGAAAAGGGCTACACCCTGTGCATAGAGCTGGAAAAGGAGATGAACACATGCTGATGATCAGCACACAGGTAGTTTTCCTGGCTCTGGCCATGAAAGGAGAAGTGCCATTTTTTCTGACTTTTCATTGGAGAAAGATACATGGTTTTAATCTGGTTCCCACACAAATAATTATTAGGCTAAAGGAGCAATTGTGGAACTCGATTTAAAGCTTTGTCTAGCTGGGCACGACCCCAGGGTTAGCAATCTGGATACAAAAATTAAGAGTCTGAGCCTTCTGTAAATTTGATTTCTCTGAGAGAGTTTCAGGTTTAGTTGCTGTCTTGAGAAATAGCATGTATGGCTTATTTTTTTTTTTTCAAATCATCTAATTAGAAAGTCAGTATCCTTCAGGGCAGGTGACATTACCAAGGGAAATTAGATTCTAAAACTTAGCAGAGAATTGCAATCTTCACTACATAGTTCAGAAGTTCTACAAAGCTCCACACTCTAGCAAGGTCTCTGACTCAGCTGGAGAGTGGAGAATAAAAAAAAAAAAAATCACCAAGGAGAGACACTTCACTGGAAGCCGGGAGAATGGAGAAATCCTCTTCATTGGTGTTTAATGGGCCTGACCCAGTGGTGTAAGTGGAAGTCTGTGTTTTCTCTTGAGTGCACTTTCCATCAGGCTGTGTGTGTAGCTGAGCACTAGGTGAGTTTTCTATATGGGCACATATTACAGATCTAGTCCTTAGTGAGTTGCTGCATTGATTTCCATAATGCAGTTTCCCACATTAAGCACCACTGAGCTTTTTTATGTTTAACACTATCAGACTTCTACGGGAGATCACGGATTCAGAGCTTGACACACGTCTATCAGTCCTAACCATCCCTAGAAGTCTGCTGGGGATTAATAAAAGTTATAATACACAGTCAAATATCATGATTCAAAGCATTATTTTTAAAAAGCATCTTTGAAACTGCGCATTGTCCAACTGCAGTTTTCAAGTATTGCTGTTCAAGATTTCCTATTCCGGGTTTAGAGGTTGTATCTCCTGGTGCCTTCGGGTATGGGAGTTTTGAAAGTAAAGGTTCCTCACGGGCAGCCTTCTCGGAAGAAAGGCTCTGAGCACCACAAGCACCCGAGGAGCACTGAGGTGCTGTACCCACCAGCCCAGCTCCTATCCCCCGTTTCAAGGCCAGATCTCACCTCTTTTAGCATTTTGGCATGGCTAATGCAGAGTAAGAAAAATGCAGTTATTGATGGCATCACTTGCACCCTTGGCACGGCAGGCTTAGATCAAAAAAAACCCCAAAAACTGTTGGACTTACTTTTGCCTTGTATCAAAGGAATAAATTAAACCAGTATGATCTATGTTTAGTTCCACGCCCAGATACCAACTAAATGGTATTAAAATGAGAAGAATTTTTTCGAACTGGATTGATTTGTAATCACCGCCCTAACAAATGGAGTTTAAAAGTAGCACAAACCCATATCCATGATTGAAAAATACATAGTGTGTCCCTGAGGTTGGTTTGGGCCAGTTATTTATAGTATACTAAGAGAAACTTGACAGTATGGATGCTTTCCTTATTGTTTTGATAATTTTTGATAAGCAACACATGGATGATTTTTCTTGAACCCCATTAACTTCATACGCTCTCCAGAATCTGACTGGATATTATTAAAAAATCATGGTTTATACTGTATTTTCAGGTTTGTGAAAAATGACCTCTTCTGCATTTTTTTAATGAGCTGATATTGTTTCTTGGGCTGTTAGTTGTCATGCTCCATTAATAAAGCTTTGGGTGCTTTTCTTCACACCTTAAAATAATACTTCTTTCTCTTTTCCAGACCAAAAAACATACTGGTGTACAACTGCACAACAGGTGGAATCAACCCTTTCTTCTGGGGAGAAATGAGTAAGGTCTAATTTAAACATGTCAAACATCAATTATATTCCTCAGCCAGGCTTTGAAAAGTTGGTTTCCTATATTTAGGTGGCATTCAGCATCTGCCATTCAAACTGCACGTGGGAGGCCCGATTGCAGTCGGTGAGGGTCCTGTGAGCAAAAGCTCCTGGTGCAGGGCATTCAGCTCGGGAAAGCATCTATTCAGTTTGCACTGCGGGCATAATCGCTTAACAACGCAGCAAAGTACGTGCTTTGCTGCACCGAGGTGTTAAAGTGGTGGAAAAAGGAACAGAGAACCAGCTCTTTATTTCTGTGAGGAGATGCTCTGCGTAGCTGTGACAGGAGATCTTCCTTTCCTGACCGGGACCCTTTTCTGGGTGTGGGGGGTTTTTGTGCTTTGAAATCACTTGGAGAACGTTGGTAGTGAGTGAAAAGAGAGTAGAGTATCCTTTCTTCCTCTTTCTGTGAAGAAAATTCTAACCAGAAATAATTAGTGTGGACTTGAGAAGGCAAACCTTGCAACGGCAGGTGCACTTCAAGAGGAGTTTGCCTTTTGCCCATGAATTTTGTCAGTGGAATAATTAAAATTATTTTCATGGCTGACTTTTTTTTGGAAGTAGATGCACTTCTGAAGCAGTGGTGAAAGAAAGGGGGGGGCAAATCCTGACACCCTTACAGTGGAAAACTCATGCTGAAGCGAAGCAGCAGAACTACTGCGTACAGTCAGTGCATTCATGGACAGATGGACGGGGCCTGATTCGCTTTCTGTTGTGCATTAATTCATATCTTTACGCTTTAGCTACAGGAGGCTGGCAAATTGATACTGTGGTGTTTCACCTCTCAGCCTTTGCTTTGCATTTGTCTTTGCATCATCTAATTGGCAAACTGTAAGACCGACTGTAATTGCATTTTCTGAGCAAGGCTTGTCTAAAAATCCTAATGTCCTACATGAGATTTGATCGAGTGATCAGGGAAGAAGTTTCAGCAATTGGCTGAGTGGTGAGAACATCACACTGAGTTCCTGGCAGTTTTTTTATGAGAGATTTAACATTGTGGTTGCAACTACCTGAAAGGACACTCTAGAGATGTTGGTGCTGGGCTCTGCTCCCAGGGGATCAGGGACAGGACAAGAGGAAACGGCTGGAAACTGCCACAGGGGAGGGTCAGACTGGACATTAGGGAAAAATGTTTCCCAGCAAGAGTGGTCAGAGAGTGGAACAGGCTGCCCAGGGAGGGGGCAGTCCCCATCCCTGGGGGTGTTTAAGGGCCGTTTGGATGAGCTGTGGGGGGATGTGGGGTAGGGGAGAACTTTGTAAAGTCGGGCTGAGGGTTGGACTTGATGATCCCGAGGGGCTTTTCCAACCTGAATGATTCTGTGAAATTTCTGTGATTCTGTGGTTTGTCACAGTCGTGAGAAGAGGTGAGGCTTCATAGATGATGGAAAATGTAGACAGTCCTCATAATGTGTAAAGACAGATCTTCCGTGGCTTTTTCACGGGAGTAAACGTAAAGCTCTTCGCAGGCTGCTACTTCAGTCAGCAGCCACCACAGCACTACTACCTGAGGTTCGCTTTTCTTAACCCATTTTCAGGGCAATTTTACTGATGAAAACAGCAATGTATTAATGCATTGTAACTGATCTTACTCTGTTACTTTGCTCATGACTGTGGATTTAGCCATGAAATCATGTGAGAGCAGCAGCAGCTTGCATAAACAGCTCATGATGGGACTGAGGGCAAAATTCTCTCCCTGGGTGACACTGTGGAGCTCTTTCAACCCCATGCATCCATCCACAGTTTTCCAGAGATCAGCAGGCTGCAGAGGGGTATTAGGTATAAATTCATAAACAGGAATTAGGATGGAGTATTGAAGAGCAAAATTTTGCCCTTAGAGATGTTGCACGGTTTAAGAAATTAGTTTGGGAAAGGCTTATTGCGTTAGGATGTTGTCTCTGCAACCATCTAGTTTGAATTCTCAATTCAGTCTCCTACCAATTTCTTTATACACACAATTCTAAAATCTTCTTTATGACAGATTTTTCTCACCCCACTCAACGTTGTTTTCTCTGTCTACTCACTATTATTTGGCTTCTAGGCAGGCAGTCTCATGGCAGGCACTTCCAACAGGCCTTCCAGGGCAGTGATCTCTCTTAAGTAAGAGCTGAGTAGTCCTGCCCTGCTCCGAAGGACCAAACTGCACCCCTGAGGTGCACCCGCCCTCCTGCACAGTGGGGCAGCATCTGCTACTGAGCTGTCACCTTCTCTTTGCAAAAGCCTGTTTGCAACTGTGTTTAGCTCTGCCAAACTTTTCAAGTTGAAACGGTTGAGGCCAGGTCTTCCCCTCCAGTGGTTTTTCAGCTTTTTCAGAATTTTCCTTTTTCCCCAGCATAAAAGAAGCTGTTTGAGAGAAACATAGAGGAGACACAGGATTAGGAGAGGGAAGGAGAGGCTGTTCAAGGAGTCTGAGGTGCCCAGACTAGCACTGTGTGCGTAGCTGGTCATCAAGGTGGAAGGTTGTGAGTGAGACTGGAAGCTGCTGGGAAACAAGGGTGGGAAATGGGAGTCATCTGCCGTGGGACTGAGCGTTTTAGTGCAAATCAAACGTGGGGTTTGCAGAGGGGAGGACGTGGGCTACCTGGTTAGGGAGGCTTATACCAGGACCAGCTGTAGGAATGCCAGGTGAACACAACAGAGTAGGGATTTTTCAGGGAGAGAGGAGGAAAGGAAAAAGATCAAATAGAGAAACTGAGGCTGAAGCAGGCTGAGGATGCCCTGGGTAGGGAACAGAAGTGACTGAGATGGGGACATTTTGAGTACAGAGGTGCTGAGCTTGGAGGGAGGGAGGAGGAAGAGACATAGAGAAGAATTATTTGAAAAATACATAAGTCTACTTAAGAGCTCATGCTTAAGCATCCATTGCAAACCAGTTTATTCTACAGATCTCCAGATACAAACCTCTAGTATTAAAATGAACTTTTAAGTGATTTATTTCATCTCCAAGTAAGACTAGCCTTGGGATTTTTTTCTTACTTTATTCCATTAGTGCTGTTACTTTCGCCACTATTACAAAAATGTCGTCAGAAAACTGAGTATTAATCTGAAGGAGCCTATTTTTCTGTGCTGCAGTTTAAGCCTTGCTAGTCTGACGTTGTGAAGTACGTTTTGCAATTCCTGCTCAAAACTAAACCTTAAAGCAGGGTTTAAAATAGTGTTCAGTGTGGGAAAACTTAAATTCAGCTTGACAGTCTACCTAGGCAAGACTGGGGTCTGATTCTCCCCTTACTAAATCTGCCTTTGAGTTGTAGAATTTGTTGCTGCGGTTTCGTGCTGTGGTCAGAGGGGAAAGAGCATCCACCTGCTAAGTTGTTTCAGTAGCTCCTAGAGGTGATATGTCTGTAGTTTGGGGTTTTCTGCCTGTCTGACCCATCTGTCTGATTCTTTCTCCCTCTCTCCAAAACAAATTCTTCCAGCATACGAGACTTGCTACACTTGTGAAGTTGAACACTCTCCAGAAATTAGGAGACAGAGCAATTGAGCTGCCAGTGCAAGGCAGCAGAAGGGAGGTTCCTAAAGAAAACACCCATAGCATTAACAGTTCCAAGTTATGTAACGCTGGTGTTTTCCCAACTTCTTTCCAGGAAGTCTTTCAAGTTGGTCTCACTGCCTTTTTACATGCATTTTTAGAACCAAACCATTTTCATTCCTGTCTTTCAGAATTTTTCTTGAGTTTTCAGCAGATATCTCATCTGCTCTTGACATATGTGCTTCTCACATTGAGTAATACCACAGCATAATACTGCATCTTCTTCACTGCAGCTGCATTTTCAGTAACCAAGATGGTAAGGGTGTTGCTGATTTGTGTGAATTTGGTGTATGGCCAATGAGCTGCAATGACAAGAGCTGCATTTTCCACTTACCCGTTAGTTTTTCCTTGCTGTCCTGGCCAAAGATGCCAAAAATGCAAAGAGAAAAGGAAGGCAGTAATGTCTTTAACACGTTTCCAAAGGGAAACCTTCTCAACCAGTTTACAGCTGAATACTAACATCTGCTGTATATTAACATTAGGATTTGAATAAACAGAGCTATAAATGTATGCTGCAGCCAATATCAAATCACAGTTCCAAAATATCAGCGGTTCCCAGTTAAACTGATAGGTTTCCGTTAGGAAATGAAGTGACCAAATGAAATTAAGTGAACTTTAATATTGCTAAGCAGATGAGAATTTGTAAATAAACTGGGATTTAAAGTGCCTCTTGGAGAAAAGCTTCCTTAAGGGGAGAAGCAGGGGTTGCTTTCCTGATCCATGAACTACGTGAATGGGTACAGATATACAGCCCCCTCCAAACTGGGAGCAGTTCACTGTATGTTTAAGCCAGCTGTGACTCTGCTGAAGTAGAATTGTAGTAAATGGCCGTGCTGCTAACACAGAGGAAAGAAACTCCTCACGCACTGCTCAGACACGGATGCTGCCAGGACAGCAGCTTCCTTCCCAACTGCTTACCACCACTCCCCTGCCAGGAGTAAACCCCTTTCCAAATCCCCAGTTAAACCACTCCAGCAAGCACACTCCCTGTCAGGCCCAACTACCTGGGAAAGTTTAAATAGGAGTTTTTTGCTAATCCTTGCCATTTTATATCTATTATATAGAACTGTTAGAACGAGTCCAGAGGAGGGCTGCCAAGATGATCAGAGTGCTGGAACACCTCTCCTATGAGCACAGGCTGAGAGAGTTGGGCTTGTTCAGCCTGGAAAACAGAAGGCTCCGGGGAGATCTCATAGTGGCCTTCCAGAACCTGAAGGGAGCCTACGAGAAGGCTGGGGAGGGACTTTTTACAAGGGACTGTAATGATAGGACGAGGGGTAATGGGTGGAAGCGGAGGGAGGGGAGGTTTAGACTAAATATATGGAAGAAGTTTTTCACTGTGAGGGTGGTGAGGCACTGGAACAGGCTGCCCAAGGAGGTTGTGGATGCTCCATCCCTGGAAGTGTTCAGAGCCAGGTTGGATGGAGCCTTGAGCAACCTGATCTAGTGGGAGGTGTCCCTGCATTGCAGGGGGCTTGCAACTAGACAATCTTTGAGGTCCCTTCCAACCCAAACCATTCCGTGATTTTTGAGAGAATGTGCTGCAAAGGGTAAGATTTCCATACCACAGCCCACAAGACGACCACAAGATAACCACATCATTGCAGCGTGGCTACATGAAAGATAAAGGATGGCAGTCAGTTCTGGCGATTCAGATGTAAGATGAGTTTCAGGAGAACTGATCTTCAGTGTATGAGACGCACAAATTTACAGTGAGCTTGCACTAAAACTAAATTGTACTGTTTTAAAAGTCTTTGTTATCTAAATGTAGGAGCTAAGTGGCTAACAAGTCTCCTCTAGTTGCTGTTACTTAAAATGAGTACAGCAAATGTCACCACTTGAAGTGCAGGAATGAGCTGACCACAGATACATGAGAGTCCTGTCTGAATATTGTGATTGGTATCTGATTATCTGAGGATGATCTGGATGTTTCTTGCGACTTGCAAATTCTCATCTGATTGTCTATTTGTAACATAAGCTTAGAGAGTAAACTATAATATGAGCACAGATTGATGTTGTAACTCTCAAATTAATTTTTTTTTAAAGTAAAAAAAAAAAAGCCCACATATTCTTTTTTGTTGAGCTCACTGGTACTCGGGAATAGGAGCACCATCTGTTTATCAGTCCCTGGGATGATAGTCTTATATTCAACTACTGCAGTTCTATTAAGCCTCTGCAATATGTAAATGCCCCAGATATGAATGTCTAGATGGCACTTCTGTGGCACTGTGCCATTGCAAGAGCTCAGAATCAGACCCAACATACTTTGTGCCTTGACAGACAAAAGGAATGAAAGATTACCACCCTCTCATTAGTTTTTCCAGTTAAGAATGCAAGACAGTTTGCTGCTGTAGTGCATTCAGAGCTCCTCTGAAAACAGGCTGAGGTAGTCTTGTGGCTCACGTGTGGTTTGAAAGGACATAATGAAGTCTCTCTAGAAGCAGCACCCAGTGTGTGTAAGCAACCTGTCCCTGACTCAGACTAATTCTGACATCAGTCCTTCTGAAAATTTGATTAGAAATGTCATTTTTGTTTTATGTTAGCAGATCAAAGTTTGCTTTGAGTGATCTGAAGGTATGTTAACACTTACCAATTTCTTTTACGCCTACTGCAGGTGAAAGCAGAACTGCAGTTCCTTGGTTTGAAGCGTTTCAGGCTACAACTGCCTGCTTTTCCTCCGTTACTTTTTGGTGTTTTGATAAGGAAGTTTTTGTCTGACGCTATTAAGTCCACAGTCACATTGTGTTTCAGATAGGAAATAGATGGAATCATCAGTTTTAATGCCAGAAGGGACCATGAGATGATCTTGTCCAACCCGCAGAACTGTAGGTTAAACATGTTAAGCGCTGTAACCTGGGTTTTATTGTAGCAGGTTGGTATGGTTGTGCCCAACTCAACTGAAATGAAGTGCCTGTTTTTAAGTTAAATGCCTGTTCCCTTACAGGGCAATATGCCATCTCCACGTTCAAAAGGAACCCGCTGGAGAAGGCCTTCCGAACTCCCGGCGCTCAAATAACGTCCAGCTACTTGATAAACCAGTACTGGGTATATCTCACTGACAAGGCATGGGCCATCCTCTACGACCTGTACATGAGGCTCACGGGGAGAAAGCCCAGGTAAGAAACCACAGGACTTCAGCCCCCTGCATGCCTGCCACTGTCACGGAGAGCAGATGTCTAATGTGTTCTGAGAACTGGCTGCCTCAGCCGGGAGTCCACGGTCGTCTTCCCATCTCCTTGTCTTGAGATTGCTCAAAAAGAAAAGGAACTGCATGGCCATAGCTGAGTGTAGCCTAGGGTTCTCACCCTTTCCAGCACCTGGGGGACAACACATTTTATAAACTCAGTTTTACACACTTCAGAGGTTCTTAAGACAGAAGAAGAGGACCTGCAGTTACACCATCCTCTGTAGAGCAAGATTTCCACCATTGCAACTTTCTATGTGATTGCCTCTATCTGTCATAAGGACTTGAGACTGGCAAGGTTTAGAACATTCCAGCTAATATTTTTTTTTCCCATAAATCAGATGAATAATTAGCAGTTGCGCTGGCTCAGCACCCTGAAATCTAGGAAGCAGTTGTTTCTGAGTATGAATAAATTCTGAATGGTATTTACGGGGACAGTTTACCATTACATTTGGCATTTGAGCCTTAGCAGTGTCATGGCTAGGAGGAACACATGACATGCATGTCCCACGTGGAAGGAATCCTGGTGTATGTAACATAACTCTGCCAGTGTCCTCCTTAACTCCCTGCCACCGCAGAGGAGAATTTATTGTGCTACACAAGAAGAGTGTGCCAGCGCTGTGTTGATGTCAGCTGTGCTCCTCTGCTAGCTAGAAAGCTGGCTTCAGCTGTTTGCAGAGAAATCCCTGGATGATGTATTGCTCTGATTTCTCTCTGACATTCTGCTACAGAGGGAAATTGGTCCATAAAAAGACTTCCAGGGTAAGAATTACCCTAGAAATGGAGGTAAACTGAGTATGAGCAAAAATAGGCTGGAATCTCCAAACCGTCAAAAGAGGCAGCACTAAGATCTTGGCACTGCCATTACAATTGACATTTCTCTTCATAAAGTTGAGTGACAGAAGCAGCCAATGAACTTTGGCCGCAATACTACATTTAAATTTCAAATAGAGCTCAGCATGAACTCATGCTGAGAAAGACATCTTCTTCTGAACTTGAAGATCTGCAGCCTAAGCAGACGTGGCTCAGCAATGACTGTGTGAGTTCACCAAGTCTTTTTTTTTTTTTTTTAATATCATTCCCATTTTCTTTTTACGTCCTACTTAAGCTCATCCAAGTATTGCTGCAATGTGGTAGAGAACACAGTAGCAGTTTGTTCTTTCATTTTTTTCATAGCTACCTAAATATCAGCTCTTTATGGTCTAAGGGCAGTAAACCACATTGAATTTAAAAAAAAAAATAAAAAAAATTGAATGTGTCACTGAACCTGCTTTATTGTTTCCCTTTATTTTTTCCCTCTGCTTCAAACAGAGCACCTAGGCTTAACTTTTTTCCACTTGTCACTCCCATCTGTTGAGGTACAAGCCATCTTCATGGCAGTTTCTTGAACTCTCCCCATGACCCTATGTCAGATTTGCAAGCAGAAAGGAGAAAGTTCTTTGCCAGGACCAAGACTCAGGCTTCAGTTCTCTACTGCCTCCATACTCAACTCATTATAAGGTGATGGGTTATCGTATGAAATAGTTTAACTGGGAGCTGGTTGACCTAAGACCTTCACTAATTTGAATTGCAGAGTAGTTCAGAGGTTGTAGTTCCTCCTGTAGTTATCACATGCAGTACCCCATCTACCAAAGGGCAGGTACAAGAGTAATTTCCTTCTGCTTTAGACTTTTATATACTGCCTCTACTGAGAAGTTTACTTTAAGTGTCAGCTCATTTCACATAAATTGCCAGATGTCTAGCAAAACTGCCCTAAATGGCTTAGTGTTATTGCTGCACATCCATCTACCCATGACTTAGAAAATAATGTGGTTTATATCACGAGTAGTCTCCTGGGGCAACCTGCCGCACCTGGGAATCTGCTCATGCAAGGCTCAGAATGAAAGCAAATAAAGAAATCATTGCTGTAAACAGTTTTCTAGAAGACAAGATGCATTTCTGAAATGTAACTGGTAAGTCTATCAGTGACAGCTAATGCTTGCTTTGTTCCTCTCAGTTCCTCCACAGTGGAGAAAGAGTTTTTCTATAAGAAATCTTTGCCAAAGCCTCTCAAAGGCTGAAGAAAAGCATGTATCTTCTCAGCTGATGTTTTCCATCCTTCATCCAAATTAGTCAATATTTTCAACTGTGGTCACAGTATTTGAGCTCAGTCAGTTAACATGAAACACAGTTTTCATACCTACCTCTTCGGGTGCTTTATTTCTCTTTTTGACCCTTACTTTTAGCCCCTGTTTCTTCGGGTAGATCTACAGTCCGAGCTTATTCTGCCCACACTGACATTAGCCCACGTGGATAACCTATTTTCTAAACATAAGTAGGGACCCACAGTTCATTCTCTTACCATTTTTTTCTGACAGATTCCATTAGCCCAGAGCACTTCAAAGATATTGATGGCTTTTGGGAAGCCAACTTGAGGGCCAACTTCAGATCTTTGCAATCTAGCCATATGCTTTGTTTTCCAAGTGCCTAAAAGGTATTAAAATATTCACAAAGCTTTGCCCCATAGTACTTGCCTACACAGGCACAATCAGAAAGTTTAATCTGAAATAATTTTAAAGTAGTTTAGATAAACTACATTCAAGCAATGTGTGCATAATTATTCAGAATGAAGGTTCCCTTAATCTGATGGCGTGCTTTGTTTCTAAAAAGCCATTTTAATTCTGAGTAGGAGTGCCTGTGTAAGGTTTTAGTACTCTTTCAATTCGCTTTGGGTAAGCTGCACAGTTCTCCTCTGAATTGATGTACTCATTGTGTCTTTTCTTTTCTTTCTGCTGTGATTAGTGCTTATCGTGGTGGCAGTCACATCTGCACGGGGAGAGGCCAGCCTGGCACCATTCTTCCCCAGTCTGCTGCCTTTTATTTGTCACGGCAACTGTGCTACCCTCTGGGCAGCTCAAAATTTCTCATGAAAACAGCTCTGTTTTCCACAGAAATCAGCCTTTTAAATGCTTTCTCTTGCCCTTATCCAGTCTGAGAGAACGTGGTGTTCTCGCAAAATTGACCAAGCACTATACATCACACTTTAGAACAACTGCCTCCCAGAGGCCTTTTGTACTCATGACCACTGAGACAACTGTAAAATAATCCTGCAAGGTAGGACAGCATTACTGTCATCCCCATTTTAATAAAAATGAATAATAAAAAAAGGCCAAGACACATGAGAGACCTGAACCTACATTTCCAAAGTCCCTATTAAGCAGCCGTGCCCCTGAAGCAGCTTTCATCTTTACCAGGACATTCACACTCCAGGAAGACATTCAAACAGTTCCTCACCCCCCAGGAAAAAAGCCGATGGACTTGGATGATTTTCAAGATCATCCACCAGGAGCACATGCTATCAGACCCTTCCTGTATAAGGAAGGACAGGAAAAAACCCACTCCAAACTGCTACTATATTATACAGGGAGAGGAATGGCCTTTAAGAAAAACTTCTTTGAGAGAGAGAGAGAGAGAGATAGGAAGAGATCAAAGAAGCCCAAAGACATGAAAAGCATGCCACCAAGCTGAGTGGTGTGGTTGATACTCTAGATGGAAGGGATGCTGTACAGAGGGAGGGACCTTGACAGGCTTGAGAAGCGGATCCATGTGAACCTCATCAAGTCTAAGTGTAAGGTCTTGCACCTGGGTCAGAATAATCTCAAACAAGGATACAGGCTAGGCCATGAGTGGATTGAGAGCACCCCTGTGGAGAAGGACTTGGGGTAGCAGTGGATGGAAAACTGAATACAAGCTGGCAATGTGTGCTTGCAGCCCAGAAAGCCAACCTAGGCTGCATCAAAAGAAAAGTGGCTAGCAGGTCTCCCCTTCTACTCTGCTCTCATGAGACTCCCCCCTGCAGTACTGCATCCAGCTCTAAAGCCCCCAGCATAAGACAGACATGGACCTGTTGAAACAGGTCCAGAGGAGGCCACAAAGATGATCAGGGGGCTTGAGAACCTTTCCTATGAGGACAGGCTGAAAGAGTTGGGTTATTCAACCTGGAGAAGGCTCTGGGGAGACCTTATGGGCTACAGGAAAGATGAGGAGGGACTCTTTATCAGGGGGCGTAGGGATAGGACAAGGGGTAACGATTTTAAACTGACAGAGGGGAGATTTAGATGAGATATAAGGAAGAAACTCTTTATCTTGAGGGTGGTGAGGCCCTGGCACAGGCTGCCCAGAGCAGCTGTGGCTGCCCCCTCCCTGGCAGTGTTCAAGGCCAGGTTGGATGAGGCTTTGGGCAACCTGGGCTAGTGGAAGGTGTCCCTGCCCATGGCAGGGGGTTGGAGTAGATGATCTTCAAGGTCCCTTCCAACTCAAACCATTCTCTAAGTCTGTGATTCTATCTGAAAACTGAAGTTGAGCAATTGACTTCTGAGCTTGTCTAAGCTGCAGATGCGGTCACCTCTGTATCGGAGCTAACTCCACAACTCAGAGCCTTGCTTCAGGAGCCAACTTGGCCTTGAGAACAGAAGAGAATTTGTGTGGTGGAAAGAGAATTATTCACTTTGAGAGACAAGCAATATACCTTTGTGGCTTTGCAATCTGCTGTGCAGACTTCATACTAGTTCAGGTGGGCTCTTCACCTCACACACGATACCTGCTGTGGATATAGCCTCCAGCACTTGTTTAGATCAGGCCAGTAAATTAGGCCTCGGTCCTACCCTGAGAAATTTTGCATCCACATTCAAGCCACCAATAAAAGCTGGTTAGCTGTAGGCTCAAGACCTCAACTGGACCAGTTAGACTTGCTGAGCAAGTTCTCAGCTTGATGAGCTGCGGTGCTCATCGGGAACTGCAATGCCCGTACCTGGATTGGTGAAGACGCCTACAGAGCAAAGCAACAGTTTTTGCACGAGGTCAAACTTCCTGCCCACCTCTAACACTCCTCCTCTGTTTCAGAATGATGAAGATTGTCAAGCGACTGCACAAGTCTATGATGCTCTTGCAGTATTTCTCCACCCAGTCCTGGAATTGGTCTTCAGACAACATGAATATGTTAATGAGTCATCTTAACACAGAGGACAAAAAGGTAAGTATGTCCTGAATATGGATTGCTAATCTCCAGGTCTGTTCACCTGCTGCAATTATTTCTGGTGCATTGTTGAGCTTTCAGTGACATCCAGATGACTAGAATTGACTTTAACCTGAAATAATTTATTTCATCCTTGTTTTATTGAATAATCAGGAGCCTTTCATTTATTACAGGAGAATTTTTTCTCCTGAAGTGTGTTGCTCTTTCTTCTGGGACAGGTCAATCACTGAAGTCTTTGCAGCTAGCATGGCAGCTGTGGTGTATGATCTAGATGGAAATTACTTGAACAATTTTGACATTTTCATCCACATTGGTTTTAACGGGTACTTCATGGGGAAATTTAGTTAACACCTAATGTCTTACCCTGAATAATACGAAGAAAGTTCCTGTTTTATTCACATCCCCAAAAAGCAATTAATTTGCAGGATGTTAAGCTCTTTATAGTTTTGAAATACTACTGCTTAAGCATGGGATTGTAACCGAAAGACTGAAGGAATACAAAGAGTAGATTTGTGATAAGCTTGAGTGCACCTTTGGTCAGTATCTCCTTGCAAAGAGATACGTAGGCATTCAAACTGGTCTCACACCATGAAAGTTTTGCAGACTCCCAGTAGTAGAATCAAGAGTTTTCTTCCCTAGTCTGCAGGAGTGCAAGCAGCAAATTCCAACTTCTAAGGGCAGTGGCACCGCAGTGACTACAGCAGATGTAGAAGGACCCTAAATGGTATGACAGGAACTAGATCCGAGGCAGACTAACAGAAAATTACAGCATCAAGGACTTAGTGCAAGCTAGACAGAGTTTCAGGCTTACTAAACTGTTTATGAGAACTTTGTGAGATGCACAACATCCAGTGCTGCCACTGCTGCATTGCGAGCAGTATTCAAACTAGACAGTTTATGGGCAGCACACATCCCTATAGATGTCTAACAGACACCCCAGGATCTGCACGGGAGGTAACCCACTGTATTTGACAGTTAGGTAACCCCTCTCTGCTCAGGTTACTGCTGGTCTGATACCAAAGCTCTTGCACCAAAGCAAATGGCCTGGATTGGCATGGGGGTGAAAGGAAGGTATTTTTCTGAGTATATTTTCTTTTAATACCTGCAAATAAGAAATGCAGTTCACTTCAATCATTCATTTAAAAAAAAAAAAAATCTCTACAACAAAACCTCTTCCTCTTTACAAACTCTTTGTTTGCTCTAGTAGACAGACAACCAGCTGAGAACTTGCTTACAGTTTTTTCCAGTATAAGCATCTGAAATTAACTGGGGTAATTAGCTCTGCAGTGAGATTTTTTTTGATGTTAAACACCAGGGTGAACCATTTCTTGGACTTCTGTTGTTCTAGCTCTTGAGAGAATGCAGCACAGCAGAGTAATACTGATGCAGAGGCACCTGTTGACTCAACGTCCAATTCATTTATTTACACGGGATTCTAGTAATACATTAAAAACCACATGGAGGTTTTCATATGAATCCGTTTAACCAAGTGGAATGCCCTTTTCTTCCATGATTTTATGTGTGTGTACGGGCGTTCACAAATGCATGTATTTACGCAAAAATTGTCACCCGAAAGACAAACTTCTCTTTATTTTCTGCCAGCTAGCCCTAAATTTCTGCTTGCTTTGTCCCGATTCCCATCTGGGTAAGACATTAATCAACAGCTGTGAAATACAGTCCGTTAGTGCCCATGTCTTCCTGGAAACTTGGTGGCTTTAAGAACTCTAGAGAGAGGGTCTTGTCAGGAATGGAGGTCAGTGAAGAATTGTTGCTTAAGGTGAACTTGTTTTGAACTCTGGTGCGTTTACCTTCTGCTCTTTGTCTTTAAATCCTAGGTATACAACTTTGATGTTCGTCAGCTGCACTGGTCAGAATATATCGAAAGCTACTGCCTAGGTGCTAAGAAGTACTTGCTAAATGAGGACATGTCTGGCATTCCAGCAGCAAAGCAGCACTTACGGAAGTAAGTCATACCCAGTGACAAGGGCAAGAGCTCCTGGGTACCTTGAATGGCTTTTGAGGAAAATTATTCTCATTATATTGCAATAATTATTGTTCTATAATACGGAGATAAACATAGCGTAGCTTGTTTCTTATGGCACAGGTTTGTCAGTAATTCATTTTTCTATCCTGTAAGAAAAAGAGGACTTCTGATTACACTAACAATCAGGGGCTAGATTTTATGCCTTCCCAACAGATGACCAAGTAATGAAGTTAAAAATGCATAAGAGGAATACATGGATGGAGATGATCTTGGTCATTTAGAATTACAATACAAAAATAAGGGTCATATTTTGTGAAGCTCCTAGAAGTTTTTAGCAATTCAAAGACATTGCATAAATACTTTAAGCATATGTATGATTTTTATATTTCACTTTAAAGTTGAAATTTCTAATACCTTGGGGAAAAAGGGCAAAGATTCTCCAAATTAAGTGGAGAGTTTATGCATTCAGTCCCTGGTGGCAGTTTAAGAGTGTGAATGAGCAATTTGAGATTGTCATTCAATTCAGTTAAAGATTGTGCTCTTCCTGTCTTCTCCAACCTTTTTACTGAGAATTGCGGGCAAAAGGAGAAGGAGCAGCTCTCTTGGAGTAAGAACCTGGTTGTTTACTTTAAGAAAACCATTCTTGTGCACTGTAAATGCTAGAAGCATAAAACAGTCTGTTGCCATAGCAAGGAATCCTAAATAAGTTCTTCGTTTTCATGGGTCATTTTTACGGGATTTATAAAACCCTCTGTAACAAGCCAGTAACTGCCTCATAGTCCAAATAGGCAGCGTCGTATAGTGCAGTGCTAAATTTACAAAAAAGATGTACTTTTTACAAAAATTAAAGCAGTCTTGGGGACATTAGGTACAAAGCCTTCTTCCCTTGGTCAGACACTGGGAAAGTGAGAATGAGAGAACTGCAGAAACTTTTGCTTCTCAGAAAGAGGACAAGATAACGACCATCTTAAAGACCCAATAATAGCATTTAAATATATGGTGTATATCACCCACCCAACCTCAGTGCTGCAGAAGTGAAGACCGTTTATGATTATTTAATAATTTCCCAACATTAAAGGCAAGGTTTTACCCAAATAGGAGAACCTTGTTCATTAGCTCCTGTAAGATCCTCTAGCCTGCCACCACTCCTGCAAAGTAAAAAAGAGCCAATATACCAAATCAAAGCAGAAAGCATTGGACCTAGACTATAATAAAAAAAAAACCCTCTCAGTATGACTTCTGTTCTGGCTTGAAATAAGAGTACACAGAACAAGAGAGACTTGCAATAGAGGTCTTCCACCTATCCCATTAACTATTTGCCATACCCTAACTTCAGCAGTCCTTGGCAAGATGGTAGGCACGTCTTAGGCACAGTGTCTTCATTAAAACAGGATGGCAAAAAGCCCAAGGACCACATGTAAACAGGATTTCTTACAAAATTACCTGTAGTAAATGAAGCAAGGCTGTAAGCTTTTTGTTGTTTTTGTCTTCCTCCGTAAGACGCCTCTTTCTCTTTCGCAGTCAGAGGAACATCCGATACGCATTCAACATCACCCTCTTTGTGATCATCTGGCGTATTTTCATTGCAAGGTCACAGATGGCTCGAAACATCTGGTACTTTGTGGTGAGCCTCTGCTACAAGTTCCTTTCCTACTTCAGGGCATCCAGCACCCTCAGGCACTGAAGCCGTCCATCCACAACCAGTCTCTTCCAGAAGGACCTCCATCTCCTCTAATCAGCAACTATGGGCATCGGGGTCTGAAAGTAGCAGAAAAATCCACTCCCTCCAACAGCAGCCTGCATTTATTGTGCACTGTTATATGCTCACATTTTTAATTTTAACTAATGCTTTACTATATGGTGGTCTTTCTTCCATAGGACCAGGCCAATTTTTAAAGCCATAACTCAAACTGGAACCATTCATCTAGAGTCTGATGTGCAAAAGTGAGGATTAACCAAAGTCATTGTCTTCCCAAGCACTACCTAGGCTATCTTAATCCCATCTTCTTCCTCAAAAGAGGCCAGTTTAAAGCATAAAACTTGGAAGAAAAGGATGCCATCACAGAAGACCCAGCCAAGGAAATTAACCTGTAAGAGGTCTTCCAAAAGAGGCTATTCCTTCATTCTCATTCAGTGAAACGGTACCCTATTGAAAAACATGATTTAACATTTTCAGTTTTTCAAAACTTAGAGGGGGAAAAAAAGAACAGTTACACTAGGCCAACAAACACACTGAACAGTTCTCAGACCTTGTCTTATATTGCTACTGAGGACCAATACTTTCAAGCCATAACTGAAGACACACGTAGAATTCATGCACCTGTGTTAACTCTGCTCACTCACAAGTTGCTTTCCTATGAAGCGGTATATTTTTTCCCCCTGTGGTTAAGGTTGCAGTCTGTTAAAAAGCCCTGTTCTTACATTTATCATATTTGCTTGGAATCTTTTTTTTTTTTTTTCTCTTGAAAAATGCTGTATTTACTCTGAGAATGAAGAGAAGACTTCTTAAAAGACTGAAGAAGAATTCAGAAACTCTTTATTATTTTTGAGGAATAGACCTTTTCCCTGTTCCATTTTGTCTGCAGAAAACTTTTCTCCCTGTAGCTCAAAACCAGCCTGATACTGCCCTTCATGCTTTCATTACAGCTAAATCACTTTATCACTTTGCAGTTGATCACTTCTACTGGTAAAGAAAGTGTAAAGACCTGCATGGAGGAAATCCCATCAGGCCAGTTCTGCTGCCACTCCTTGTCAGCAGGAATTAAAAAGTCTGAAACTTGTTTCTGTTGAGAATAGGAAAGGGTTCGTGGATTTCTGTGTTAAAACAATCATGCACTGTGAAGGCAATGCATTTTATCCTACGTTGCAGTTTAGAAAGGAACCTGAGGATCTTCCTAATGCTCATGGCTATTGGAGATATTTGTATCACTTAAGTATACTTAAGTCCTGTGAGGGGAGAGAGAAAGGGAGAGCCTTCTTCAAAGTACCCGGTGCAACAACAGCCTTAGTGCAACAGAAACAAAATCAAAGTCAAAACTAATACTGGAATATTTTTTATTCAGATAACACTGAATAAACACTTTGAGATTATCAGACTTTAAAGCAGCTAGTTTTTGAAACAATGCAGCATCCAATTTCTCTAGTCTTGTGTCATGCTAGCTGTCTGAAAAAGTAATGCTAGTTCACAAAAAAAACAAAAAAAAAAAAGGCAAGAGTTGCTCTTTTGAGAGCTGAGAATAGCATTTACAAAGCTGGCATTCTTCAGAAATTATACTTGGCTTTGGCAGTGAAGGCAAGAGCAAGTTATGATGACAGTATATTTATATCTTAGGCCTCCAAGCTAGTTCAAAAGTCTTTCTAAAGGTGAAAGGAATTAATCTTGCCTGGTATGCCCCAGAGGTCTAGTTTCAAGCCATTGCCAAAGGATGCCTGCAGCAGAACCTGACCAGAAACGTGGTGTGCGGAGTGGTATTCCCTAGCAAAGCCCCCATGTTTCTCACCCGTTATTTCTGATCTATGTCTTAATTAGTCAAGCACCCAGTTTAAAAACACGCAAATTATTTAAGCTCTTGTCTTGAAAACATCCTCTCGAAATGAAACCAGGCTGGTTGTTAGCTCTGTGTTTTCCAGCTTCAGAAAGCAGGCGGTGCTTGCTGTGCATTGCACATTAGCAAGGAATCCCTGCCTGGGAAGCCAGGAGCTCTGGGCTGGAGCTCTGGGGACCGGACAGTTGGTGTACAGGGCTTCTGTGGCAGTCTGTGTGGTGAAGGTTAGCTGCAGTGTACCTTGCTTAACATGGCTATGCAGAGACCGGCTGCCTTGGCAAGGTGAGGCAGGTTGCTGTAGGGATTCCTCTAGACAGACTGCATTCCCTCGAGTACATAATCAGGTTAGCAGCCAGCTTCCAATCTTCTCGTACTGAAAAGCTGAAAAACAAAACAAAATTGCAGATTGTTTTGAAACAAACTTCCATCAAAAAAAGTAGGAAAGAATTTTAACTCGTATCCTAAAAGTCTTTTCAAGTGCCTGCCCTATGTACAAAGAGAAGCAGCAGCTAAGGGGATCATAAGTTTTATGCAGTGCACCCAATGGACAAAAACTTGAATCTCAGAAAAGTCAGACACTGCAGACCTGCTACACCTACAATGTCTGGTCTACATCAGTCAGCTCTACCATGGATAAAGTGTCCTGCCTTTTCTTCCCCAAAGTTAGTCATGCCATGCATTCCTCACATATGCCTGTAGGCATGCACAGTTATTTGCACAGGCTGTATTGTCCCAACAAGTCTGAGATGTACCCTGGCTCACCTGAGCATATCCGGACCTGTTTTCTGCACATGCAAAAAGATGCTTCAGGTTTCACTCAGAACAATGGTCGGTATCTCGTTTTAAAGCTCTTCAGCATTTTGCTGAAGGTAGCAGCCACACCAAAGCTACTACTCAGCCCTGAATAAACAGCAGGAGGTGCTTGGGATGTTGCAGAAACATAGCAGGTGCAGATGGTGTATGCTCTTCTGGAGACCTTCCATAGCTCACGCAGCGTCGCCAGCGGCTGGCTCCAGAGCTCTGGCCTTGCCTGGGGGGAATCAAGCTGTTGGCTTTTCGTAACACAGACATAACATGCAGTGAAACTTGAATCTTTAATCCATTGTCTTGTGGCTCGAGATGTTTTCAGGTGATTGTCTGACCCACAGAAATATTTCAGAAAAACGTCAATGCAGAGACTGACGTGTGGCAAAGGCCTTTGGGTGCCAGTCATGCCTGTCATCACGGAGAGCTGGACCTGGCCTAAGAACTTGTTCTCACCTCAAGCAGTGACTTTATCTTTGATGTTTTACTGTGTGCTCCTCAGTGTCTTTGTATGTGCTCTGAAGAAACCCAAGCCTTGAGGAAAATATCTAAAAGAAAACACCGAATGACAGCCACTTCTTTTCTTCCCTATTCTCTCTCTTGCTCTTTCATGTATACTCACAAGCTTTTGATGACAGAAAAACCAAATACAGTTGTTACCAAGTTAAATCCGGGGTCCTGTGGTGACTGTGCACAAATTAACGCTAACAACTTGGGAATGGATATTACTCACGGCTAAAGGCTTTAAATTCCTGTAAGGTTGAAGCAGGACTCAAGCTCCTTTTTTTCCCCTGCAGAGGTAGCACGGTCAGTGCTATGGGGAGGAGAGAGGAGCAGGAGGAGAATTCCTGCAGCCTCTGCTCATAGACAGCAGCAGCAGCGTTGCTGGGCACAAAGCATCCAACGCAACGAGGCAAGAGAGACTCGAGGGGTCAGAGAAATTGGAGCTGCCAAACTCAGAGGACTCTGCCTCCCAAGGAGTGGGGGAAGAGCTCCATCAGCATTTTGTTATCAGTTTGGCTTCTTGTAATAAAGCATATGAACTAAAAGGCTCCTCCATCCTTCCCCCAGCTACCAACAGGCAGCATAGAGAACAATATTGGCAGTCATTCTTCACAGCCACAAGAGAAACTGTCTGCCACACGACAGTATAATGGGATGGTTTGTTTGTACCCTATGAACTTGCAGTGTATCTACCCCCTCACAGTGTCAGAAGCCTGCAGTGCTGCTACAGAAATAACATGGAACCCCGCTGAACCCAACGTACTAATGTTTTGTTAATACTATGCATATACACTAGTCTGTAGGCTATCGCTGTGAACTGCTGTGCAAAAGCAATGAAACACTGAGTATCATTTCACTGTCAAAGAGCAATGAGCGTAAGCTTGCAATTATCTTTTTTTTTATTATTAAATTGCGATAACAAAAAAAAACAACCATGCAAATCCCTAAAATTAATCTGAGTTGAAACTGCCTTTTGACTGACAACCAAAGCTGTTTATCTCCAGCATGTCTGTTACCAAAAAAAAAAAAAAAAAAATTATTTCTTAACCCCCCCATCCCATTTCTTTTGTTGAGAAAATAACACTTCTTCCTTGGTAGAGAGGGAGGGTAACAGACATACTGTTGTATTACAGGTTGTTGGCCCTTTACCCACCTCCTCACCTCCTCAATAAATTTGTTTTACTTTTTCTAAGAAAACACGATTATATCTGCCTGTGCGTATAGTTACGTCTTTCAGCACCAGTCTTCTCATACAAGAGAGATGGTAAAAGTAGTGGAGCTCATATTGAAATGCCAGGCTGTGCTTGTTTGGTATGCACTGTTCCAATTTAAGACAAAGTGATTAAAACCTACCCTAATTCCCACTGTAAAGGAAACCTAACGCGTAGTACTAATAATGAAATCATCATCATGAATAAGCAACGGGGAAAAGAGGGAGGGGGGGCCTTCTTTTGTTTGTAAATAAGCTACAGCTTCATGGTCAAACGCATGCTGTTGCTCTTCCAGCGTTGACGTTCTACTGCAGAAAGCAAGGATGAACTTCTAGCGCAAATAATATACTGCACATTCCCCAGAAGATAAATGGTGAATATCCCATTACATGGTGCTAAATATCAGTGTGAAGGTGGTACAGACTTACTTAAGAGGATTTTAAAATTAAAAAAAAAAAAAAAAAGCATATTTGGGGAATAATTAAAGATGTACTGTCCCGCTTTTCTCTATTGCTTAAAAGTCAACTATGAATTGAGTTGGTTTGTTCGGATTAACATGAAACTGCTTATAAAAGGTTTCTTGTCCTTACATAATCTTGGCAGATCTCAGTTTATAGTAAAATATGTACTCTCCCACTGTCCAAAGTTTATACAGTTCTACCTGCTATTTCTATTCTCTTGTTAGCTATGAGACAACTTACTGTTACGAATCTTAATTACAAAGTTTCTAATGTTAAGGTTTAATCTTTTGAGCTCTCAAATCAGATAAAATGGTAAAGTCCCAAATTATGAGAACCTCAGCCATAAAATTGTTAATATGTTTATGTTATTTTAAACATATAATAAAATATTTTAAAACTATGGTCACTTCGCATGGCTCAAGTTGCTAAAAGGAGACGGTTACCTGCTGCTGGCCGTTGCGGTTCAGCACAGGCAGCTTCTGCACCACCTCTGTGCCACATCTGTACACATGTACCACAGTTGCTGGCGTGGAATTGCGTGGAACGGCAGCCCCACCTACAGGCAGCTGCCAGCACAAGGACCCGCTGCACGGGCAAGAAGAGGAAAAAAAGAGGGAGGAAATCCCAAATTTTAAAAGGAATAACTGAGCCTGTACATCCTGGAAGGGTCCTTCTCTGATAAGGGTCCTCCAGAAAGTGATAGGGACAGGTCTTCGGCAAGAACAGATTGGTAATAACCCAACCAACCTGTTGAAAAACATACCTGAGAATATTACCCCAAATTCTTGGGTTTATGAGGTAAGGACTTTAATTTACACTTGGCATTAACACCATAACTCTCTTCGGGCATAAAGAGCTTTTAAAGTCCAGAGGAATAAGGTACGCTTTTATTTCAAGACTCTACCGTACAGCAAAAAATGTTTTAGGATGTTATTGCACAGGCATGCATGGGGGAGTGGGCAATAATCATCGTTTATATGTGCTTCCAAGACGTATACACAATAATGGTCCAGGATGTTGGGTAAACTCTTAATCTAGCAATTCTCAGGATTGCCAAGAACATTCTGACTCTACGACAAATCATTTCACTGTACTTCAAATGATGTCGCCAAGGCCATGTGGAAGGAGTGGCAGAGTAAGATAATGATATCACCTTGACAAAGAGCAGGACTAACTAGAATGTTGTTTGTTTTATAAGCAGAACAGTTCTTACTAAAAAAAAATAAAAAATAAAAAAAATCTTATTTGCTCAAATTAATTTTTCACAGTTGTGAACTTCAAAAGTATATAATCTCCAGCTGCCCAAAGCAAAGACACTGTTTCAAGGTCAGAGTTCGGGCACGCTGTCAGAGTATTTGTAGACAAAGAGAATGTCACATCCCTCAAAGGTCTCCGCTATCAAAGCATCAGGGAGGGGGGGG